TAATCTTCATTCCACTTAGAAAGACTGTTCGCACATTGTGTACCAAAAGGAATGTGCTTAATTAGAAGGTATTTGTTGCTGGAATGCGCATTTTATCTGTGGTATCTAAATCCTCAAACACATTTGTAACCATCTCAAGGATGTGCACGAGGAGCTGCAGATGGATAGCTCAAAGGGCATCATACAATGTCCTGCAGGAGATCCCGGAGAAGATTTCACCCCCCGCCTGTGTCCACGCCTGCCATTGATCACGTCATTGATCAGAAATTGACTTCTTGACTGACAAAAACCATGTTTGTCACAGAATTATTTCCTGACTGTGAGGTGGGAACTCTGAAAGAAGTCACTTTACTTTGCTGAAATGGGGATACGAATTCCAGCCTTGGATTTCTTTCGGGTAGCTTTGAAACTCAGATGGGAAACTGTCATGAAAGTATATTGATGGCCAGAGCCAAGCCATCTGCCTGCCGGTGTCCTGTATGAAATTCTTCCTGACTGGCCAGGTGTGGTGCTTCATGCTCAGAATCTCAGCACAGGGCGGGGCGGGGGGGGGGGGGGGTCCTGACACAGGAGATCTGTCCTGAGGCCACCCTAGTCCACATGAGGAGGCTCAGGATAGTTAGAGGAAGATCCTGTCTCAAAAGACCAAAGTCTTGGGCTGGAGCAATGGCTCGGTGGTTAAGAGCGTGTTCCAAGTTCTGTTCTAAGCCAGCCTCACAACCACTGCGACTCCAGCCCCAGGGGTCCGACGACATCCCTGACCTAAGGCACCTGCACACATGTGCACACACCCCGCCCCCAGACACAGATGTGCACAACATTAAAAATAAAATACTTTGAAGTAGGAAGCCCTTACTGATTTAAAGAAATGCACACTACATAGTTCATTTGCACAACTCCATCACCATCTGTTTGTGAGCCTTGATGTCCTTCCTATCTGCAGCTCTGCTGGATAAGTAACCAGGGCAAATCTATGAGTACATCTTTTCGTGCACTGAAAAGCATGGGACATGACTGCTCAGAGTGCATTAAGGTTAAAATATTCTAGAATAAGAGCTTCTGGTCCTTTGATTAATGGACGTCTTTATTAAGAAAATTCACTTGCTGTTTGGAAAGAGAGCAAGACAGAGAGGCAGTCTCTGCCAACAGGCAGCTAGCGTGGCTGTGTGTGGTAATTAATTTTAAGTGGTTTATACTGGCAGATCAAAGGAGCATCCTAAACACAGCAGATACGATCCTAGCCCAGGTGAAACTGGAGTGGGCTGAAACCAGCCCAACAAGCCAGATATAAAGAAAATTGAGAAAAAGACTCAGGGCAAACGGGAGGGAGACCAGAAATCCTTAGGGCTTTTGGCTCAGGCAGGCCTGCCTTCCACAGGCAAATACCTGCTTTGTTCTCAGAATATTAAATATGCATGTTTGGAACAAATGCATGAGTTGGCCTTCAGTAGGACTTCAGTAAGGTGTACTTTACTTTAGCAACACTAATCTTTGCATTTCACTGACGTCCTGGTGTCGGGTTGAACCTGCCACCTCGTACAATCCTCACAGCATTTCTATTGGGTGGCAGTAGGGGCCGTGGCTGCAATGGGCACGTATCCTGCCTGCCCGTCTGCCTACCTACTGTTGTTGAATGAACCACTGAACTCAGGGCTTTAAACAATGATTTCTTATTTCTCACGGACCTTAGTTAACTGGGCTTAGATGAGAAGTCCTCCTTCAAAGCAGTAGATATTGGTTACGCAAAATTGCCAGAACTAGAGGTATCTGGTAACTCCACCGGTACCTGGTGTCTACACAGCCTTTCATGCTTGGCTGTCTTCTAGCTGAGCTAGACAGACCATCTGTGCCCCGCTGCTTCAGCAGCTTCCTCTCTCCAGGTCTTTACACGCTTCTGGGTTGCCTCAATTTGAATGTGAAACCTTCCGCACAGGTTCCTTTGTTTGAATGGGTGTGTGGCACTATTTTGACAGGTTGTTGGAACATTTAGGAGGTGGGGCCTAATTGATGGAATTGGTTCCTGGAGGTGAGCCTGGATGTTTTACAGCCCAGTTCCTCTTCCCGTTTGCTCTCTCTGCCTCCACTTGGGTATGAGCAAACTCCCGTGGCACAGCTGTGAACATTCCCTGCCACCATGCTCTCTCTACCACAATGGACTAGGTCCTCAAATCATGATTCCAAGTTAATCCTCCTCCCCTAAACTTCCTGTCAGGCAGTTAGTCTCAGAGGTCAGAAAAGCAACTAATGCCACAGCAGTCTCAGAACACTGGGCTTCTTAGTAAAAGATCCAAGGGACCAAGGGGGAAGCTGCGGGGCCTCTTTTAATCAGGCCTCAGAAGTCTCTGAGTCACTTGTAGCGATTCTTTTGTGAATTCTAAGACAAGTTTATTGGAGTGTAGCAGAAAAAGCACCCCAGGGCAGGTGAGCTGTAAATCTCAGCAGCCGCCTAGAGGAGGAAAATGGAGAGAGGAAGAACAAGGCCTTGCTGTTTGAATGGCCAGAGTGAGGTCTGTCTCAAGGCAGCAGGCAGCCTCCCGGCAGGGTGCGGAGCTTTGGAGAAACAGTAAGGCAGCCCAAATTATCAGAGAAAGCATACTTCGGTTCTGGTCAGCGTCAGGAAGGGACAGAAAAGGAAAAAGGCTGCCCTACACCTTTCTGAGTGCTGACTGATTCTCTGGGTCAGAAGTTAACTACAGGGCCAGGACCAAGGAGGAGATCTGCAGCACAGATGTAGACTGGAGGAGGTATGGCTCACCCAAGGATGGCTGTCTTAGTTTCTATTACTGTGATGAAACACCATGACCAAAACAACTCAGGGAGGAAAGGGCTGACTTGGCTTACACGTCCATATCACTGTTCATCCCTGAAGGAAGTCGGGACAGGAACTCCAACAGGGCAGGAACCTGGAGGCAGCAGCTGATCAGAGACCATGGAGGGGTGCTGATTACTGGCTTGCTTCTCATGGTTTGCTCAGCCTGCTTTCTTATAAACCCAGGACCCACAATGGACTGAGCCCTCCTTCACTGATCACTAACTAAAAAAATACTCCACAACTAGATCTTATGGAGGCATTTTCTCAACAGAGGCTCCTTCGTCTCTGATGACTCCAGCTTGTGTCAAGTTGACACAAACGTAATGAGCACAATGGTCTTTTAAGACTAGCAGTAGCCAGGTGGTGATGGCGCACGCCTTTAATCCCAGCACTTGGGAGGCAGAGACAAGCGAAGCTCTGTGAGTTTGAGGCCAGCCTGGTCTACAGAGTGAGTTCCAGGACAGGCTCCAAAAGTACACAGAGAAACCCTGTCTCAACCCCACCCCCCAAAAAAAGACTAGTAATGTGTGTGTGTGTGTGTGTGTGTGTGTGTGTGTGTGTGTGTGTGTAGAATAACAAGTAAAAATATACATTGTATAGCAAATCATGTACAGGTGAGGAAATGAATGCTTTTCAAAGTCATGTGTCCAAAGTCAAACACCTAGAAAGTAGGTAAGAAGACATTCAAGTCCTGTTTTCTATGTAATTCCTGTATGCTATGCTTGACCTATGAAGCAAAACTACAGAAAATGAATTAATTTACAAAACAATATAATACTTATTAAAGTGCCATACAAAAGTGAGGGAGGGCTCTGAGTAAAAAAAGAAATAAAAAAAGGAACTGGTCCTGGGTTCCAGATGAATAAAAAAAAAAGAGAGAAATAAAGGACATGACTGTTCCTATGCATGGTGGAGGAGAAAGTTTATTGTGGATAAAAGGGAGAGTGTAGCCAGTGGCAGAGACATCTGGAAGAGTCCAGAGTGGTCATGACCCTGAGCCATGTGAGGAGAGGAGGGGAAGGAGGCAGGGAGAGAGGATGAAGAGGGAAACCTAGAGATCAAGAGGCCAGGAAATCCGAAGGAGGATGGGGTAACCAGAATGGCTTGATTATATAGGAGGGGAAAGCTGTTGTGGAATGTTCTTTTCACTGTGTGAAGATATGTCATTCTGATTGGCTTAATAAAAAACTAAACAGCCAATAGCTAGGCAAGATTTGGGAGGCAGAGAATGCTGGGAAGAAGGGCCGAGAAGTCAGACAAGAAATGAGTTGGACACACAAAATGAGATGGAGGTAAAAGCCATGTGATAGAATGTAGATCAATACAAATATGGGCTAATATATGTTATAAGAGCTAGTTAAAAACAAGCTTAAATTTTGGGCCAAGCTTTTATAATTAATAGTAAGTCTCTGTGTTTTGATTTGGGAGCTGGCAGGAGGGACAGAAAACTCCACCTACAAAAGGCCTCTTGGGGAAGGGGAGCCCAGCCCTTGGATTGGGGTAGTTTAGGTTAGGGGATGGAATATGGCAGCCAAGAGAGCCCTGTAACAGGTAGGGACTGAGAGATGCAGGGAGAACCTGGTGGCCAGCACCCACTTTGATATATTAATGGGTACCTCAGTCATTTGTCCCACACTCCAGGCCTCTAAAACCCCTGGAAAGCTGAAGTTTAAAATAAACAACATTGGGCTTTGGGTTAGAAGTCCAGATTTGAGTCCTCATCCTACAGCCCTGGTCAACTGATTCAATCTCTTTGAGACTCAGTTTCCTCAAAGATAAAGGAATCTTTATCTTCAGCAGTCTTCCTCTGGGAGTAATAAAAAATATGTGACTCGAGCTTGTTCTTCTTAGTCATGGAGTATTATCTGCATCGTGGGCTTCGGTCAAGAAGAAATCACAGACCAATAAAAGGTGAACCATAGGCAGGTTAAGACTTGATGGGCATAAGCCAAGAGGGCATCAAAAGTGAGCTCCGCCATCCTTGAGGTCTTTTTCCCGCTACCCCATGGAGCTTTTTCCACCCCACTCTTACTGACACTATGTGGTCTTATGAAATTAGAACAACCTGCAGCTCTGAGGAAAATACTTCTTTCACAGAATGGCAAGACACTGTTTTGTTAAGGACTAAATAGTGCACGAGTGTTCAAACAAAATCTTGAAATTCACTCCTTAATATCTGTTTTTCTTACCTTGACTTTGAAATGCTGGATGTGGATAGATATGCTGATAATGCTACAGGGGAGCTACAGGGAGCTACAGTTGAAGCTTGACTTCACGTCAGATGAACTGGAGTCAGAGTCCAGTAGCAGAGTCCTGCAGGTGGAGATGGGTGGGGATGGAGGACAGTTCAGTCAGGTCCTTTGCTGGGCCGTTCAGCCATGTCTGAAGCTGAGAGAGTGCAGCAGCTACAGATTTCAGTTCAGACTCACAAGGGCTTCCTGGGGAACAGGCAGTGTGGCTGTCAGGACCAAGGGGTAAAGACAGGTAAAGAAAGATCTGATCTGTTTCTCCTTTCTTCCTGGCACTCTTTACACTTGGCATGTGGAAGACTAGCTGGGTTCTAAGGTGTTACACGGGACGGGACGAGGAACCTTTGGACTCTGCACAGCGTTGTGAAAGCTACCTTGCTTTCCTGCAGGTGGGTAAACATACGACACAGAGCAGCTGACTCAATATAATCTGTGCATAGTATTGTTTCCTGGACCACTCTTCAAGGATTTGTTTCATTCCTTTTCCATGGAAGCATCGAGTGGTTAATATTACCTGTGAAACAAATGTAGCTTTTTTAGACTTTAAGAAATGTTAAATACCAAGTCAGTGGTTTTTTTTTTATATATATATTCCTAAAGTTATAATCACCATCACTGACTTCATGGCATTTTATCACACAAAAATGAAACCTTTTCACAGTCACTCCCCACGTCCTGAGCCCTGGTCCTCAACAATCACTAATTTACTTCATGTCTCCATGGATTTGCCTATTCTTGGTGTTATATATAAATAGAATTATATAATAAGTGGTATTTTCTGTTTTTCTTTTCCATTTAGTATGGCATTTTCAAGACTCACTCATGTTACAGGCTATATAGTCTGGATTTCTCTCATTTTTTATTGACAAATAACATTCTATTTTATGGGTAAATCTATTTGTGTTTATCCATCCACCACTTCACAGACATTTGAGCTGCCACAGTTTTGGACTGTTTCCAATAATATTTCTGTGAACACTTGTGTAAGAGTCTTTGTGTGGTTATATGTTGTCAATTGTCTTGACTATATAGTGTGATGGTTAATTTTTGACAGTCACCTTGATGTGATTTAGAATCCCCAGAAGACACATCTCTAAGAGTGTCTGTGAAGATGTTCCCTGTGGCAGGTAACTGCTGAGAAGACTAACCTGGGATGTAGCACCATCCCATAGGCTAGGGTCCCAGACTGAGTAAGAAAGAAAATGAATTGAACACTAGTACTCACTTCTGCTTCCTGACTCAGAAGATGCCTTCCCACCATGTGACCAGCTGCTTCCTGTCCCTGCCCCATGCCTTCCCACCATGTGACCAACTGCTTCCTGTCCCTGCCCCATGCCTTCCCACCATGTGGCCAGCTGTTTCCCACCCCTGCCCCATGCCTTCCCACCATGTGACCAGCTGCTTCCTGTTCCTGCCCCATGCTTTCCCACCATGTGACCAGCTGCTTCCTGTTTCCTCCCCATGCCTTCCCACCATGTGACCAGTGCTTCCTGTTCCTGCCCCATGCCTTCCCATCATGTGACCAGCTGCTTCCTGTCCCTGCCCCATGCCTTCCCACCATGTGACCAGCTGCTTCCTACCCCTGCCCCATGCCTTCCCACCATGTGACCAGTGCTTCCTGTTCCTGCCCTATGCCTTCCCATCATGTGACCAGTGCTTCCTGTTCCTGCCCTATGCCTTCCCAACCATGTGACCAGCTGTTTCCTACCCCTGCCCCATGCCTTCCCCACTATGATGGACTACACTCTCAAAACCTGAACCTAAACAAGACTTCCTTTCTTAACTTGTGTTTGTCAGGAATTTTGACACAGCAACAGGAAAAGCAAGTGATATAGAAAAGCAGCTCCAGGACTGTGTTGTTGCTAATATTAACCTGCCCATGTTGTTCTTGGGCCTTTGGAACTGGTTTACAGGAGGAATGTGGAGGCTAGAGAAGCCTTAGAATTCTGGAATCCCAGTCTGATGGGTCACTCTGGGGGCAGCTTGGAAGACCATTAGGCTGAGACAAATACAAAGAATGGAGGTCCAGCCCATGAGGTTTCAGAGAGGAGCAATGACTCTTTCAGGAACTGGGCTAGGAGCTATTTTGTTACATTCTGGGAAATAGTATTGTTTTATTTTGCCCACGTCCTGAGAACTTGAGTGAAGCTGAATTCAAGAGTAGCATTTGGAGGAGGAAATTCTAGGCAAGAGAGCATTCAGCATATGGTATGGTCCCTGTTCACTGCTTACCCAGAGCCACAGTGAGACAGAGTAACAAGTGGGGCAGAAAGATGTGAGAACTGGCCAGATTGGTAAGGTCAGGAGCCTGAGAGACTCTAAAATTGGACACAAAGCTGGTATAACAGCAACCCTAACTGTGTAAGGTGTGTATACAGCAGTCCCAACTGTGTAAGGTGTGTATACAGCAGTCCC